GTATCATCCAGCGGAAACAGGAAACGATAGTTTGTAATATCGCAATCGTCGCGGGCAATCGGCGCGACATCGTCACCTTCCAGCTCATTCTTTCGTTTTTTTCTCGCGCGCAGTGAAGGCGAGAGGAGTAAATAGAGAGACGCGTCGAGGCGAGCGTACTTTCGACGCGGACACGATAAATAGATTGGCAATGCCGCCGATAACGAAAGTTATCGGCTAAATTTTGCCACCGCGTTACGCAACCGCCGCGTTATCTGGCGATTCCCGAAGATCTCCTGGGTTACGTCGCAAATACTTCATTCCGTTGTTAATCCGCCGATAAAATGGCCGGACATTCGATACGGAGAATCGCGAATTCACCTAATTCCAACGGATTATCTCAGACGATAATGACATACTTGTATCCTTGACTACATCGAGAGAAAGAATATGTAAAAGATAGCAAACATTTATTTCGGTGGATACCAATGATATATTCGCTTGAATCCAAATTTTTTTATTTAAATAGAACAAAAGTTGCCTTCATGAAAATCTAAAATTCTCCTCTTGAAGTTTTCAGAAAAAAGCATGTTTTCTTTTACCTGAAAAATACTTTACTTAAAACTAAAAATACTTTAGCTTAAATTACCCGGCGTTGTCCGAGCTTCTTATATCGAGAACACCTAAACTTAAATTATCGCAAAGTATCAAGGGAATGAAATCAGAGGGAAGGGGTGTCCATGATACACTGAGAGAAAAATATTAAAAAATTAATAAGTATTTATTTGGTAAGTATTAGTAGCATATTTACACATCACACAAATTCAAGTTCTTTTATTTAAGTAGCATTTTTTATGAAAAACTAAGGTTTTCCTAAAATTTTAAAAAAATGTATATTTCCTTATTTGAAAAATATTTAGTATTAGCGCAAGTATAAATATGCTGTTAGTAACTACACCAAATAAATATTTGTTATCGTTTGAATATTTTTTTCTTTCAGTGTAATCTATACTAAAACTTGGTTCAGAGATCGAACAAGGATTTAGGAGAAAGATTTAGGAGGCTAATAGGGAACATACAGACACTCCATTTTGCATATAGATTAGTATAAATAAATATGTTATTGGCACACTCTCCGCGAATAAATATGTACACACATATGTACTTACTCTATTTCTTAGATATTTTTTCTCTTAGTGCACGCCGTGCGTCGTTATTATTCGCGTCACATTCGTCGAGACGAAGCCGTACATATGCGCACACACGGATCCCTGTGTATATACACACACACACACACACATATACACAGAGGCACACACGCACGCAAACGCGAAAGGACGTAATCGGGAAGGATGCTGCTCGCGAAGCACCGGAAATTCGTGGATACTGCAAGGATCGGTAACGACGATACTACACTTATTCGTCGTCTGTGGAAATTAATTCTCCGAGATCGTCTAATCCAACGGTGACATTTATGGGGGACTGCGAATACGTACGTGCGCGCATATATACATTCCCTTTGACGTTCTCCGGCTTGAGCGATTTATTTTAATAGCGCCGAAGAGAACTGCAGTTTGCGTATCGGAGAGAGAAGCTATTTCCCCACATTAAATACTGCTGTCTTAATCTAGAAACACCTCCATCGCCCGTGGCCGATAGAACATACAAAAGTTATTAATTTCCAGTAATATTTGCGAATTCTGTCGCGTTTCTCTTGTGTCATTTTACCGTCCTGTCACTTGAGAATCACTTTTCTACTTCGCTTGCGCTAAATTTTTGGGATTATTCGAATCGGACTTTATATGCCTTTAACAAAGCACAATTTCATGAGAAGACTATCTTTTTTTCTTTAATATAAATTAGAGCTCACTGTTAATCTGTTCGCTTATCGCCGGGTGAGATCTCGATCTCTCGGATCTTGATTGTTTTTATTACGAAGGTCAAGGAATGGCTCTATCGAATCAATTTCTAATCCGGACACGCATCTGCTGCCTCTTATCGCGTGGTATTAAACGCACCGATCTCTTCATATGCCACACGCGCATTTAATTATTACTGCACGGTGTATCCAGAGACTCACAAGTGATATCGTTGTTCTCGTCTGTTTATAACGTGTTGCGGTAACGGCTACAAAATAAAAGCAAACACAGGTTCGTACTATTCCTCTTACGTCGATTTAGGTCAGTTATATATAATATTAAACAAAAATATATTGTTTATTATAAGATTAAAGAATTCTACACTTGACGCATTTTTTTAAGTTTTCTTATACTAAAATAGCTTTCTCTAGGAAAATATTACCACACTAAGGGAAAGAATATCTGAGGGAAAAATAAAAAATATTTGTTTCCAATATACTAACAATATATTTACAGGAACATCTTAAAAGTAAATAAATAATGATTTTTGTCAATAGCTATTTATTTTATCAATTTTATAAAATAAAATGATCGTTTTAAAAGATCGTGGCGTCAATTTTTTTTAGGTATCTCTATTAAACACTTATTTTTACATTGAGAAAAAATTTCTTTGAAATGAGAGAACATATACATTTTCCTAAAATTGTTGCTTTTCATAAAAGCAATTGTTTATTTCATTTAAATAAAAGAGACAATGTAGATTTAAATAAATAATTATTAGTGTCCCTCAAATGAATATTTTTTATTTTTCAAATATCTTTTCTCTCAGTATACACGGAGGAAAATGTAGTTGATTGTGTTAAGATGAAATTTGGTTCTAATGAACGAACCAACCAACGAGTTGAAGGGAACAAAATTTCTTATTTTTAGAATCAAATGTGAGTCAAAAGAATGAGAGAAATTCTGTGTTCTTAAACCAAAACACGTTAGGTCGTTCATTTAAAGCAAAAACTTCGCCTTAATACAATCAACTTTCTTTTTCCTTTTGTACGTTTCCTTTTTCGTAAGTAGTAATTTAAATGCTTCGAGGTTTAAAAATTGCTAATGTTTCAACATAATCCGCTGATTCGCTTTTTCGATAAAATGCTTCTGCATATACAAATTGCCTAGAAGCGTGTGATACAGATTCCTTTACGGATACATAATCCGAAGGTTTATTACAAGTATATACGGGGATGCCTCGCAATCGAGACCGCAAAAAACTCGATACGATGGTATGGATACCGTTTGATGCTCTTTCCGCAACCTAAGCTGGGTCATCGGCAGTCGCGAGTCTCTCACGGAGTGTGTTGCAGGTGGACAGGTGCAACGGTGTACGTGCACCTTATCTCTAGACACACCCCCGAAACGCTCCTGTGGCGGGGATGCTGAGGTGCAGACGAGAGTGGGGAGGATAGGAGCCGAGTTCGACGGAGGAAGGATTCCGAAAGGAAAAGAAAAAAGACGGGAAAACGAGATTGGTGCCGGATGAGAGAACGGATCTGCCACCGTGTGAAGGAGAAGACGTATGGATATGAGTAGGAAATTCCTGTAGAACAGACGAAGAGAATCGACGGTTGAGGAATAAAAAATGTCGCGCAAAACAGGAAAAGACGTAAATTAGTTGGGAATAAGTAGAAATGTGCGGGCGATTTGCGGCAGCAAAGTATATAAATAATTTTGAAGTCTTGAAGCATATTTGTAGTATTCCGTGCGCGCACTAATGTATTTCCCAGTTTCGTGTAAAAAATCTTTTAAAAAAAATTTAGTATAATATATTGTAGAATCAGTATTTCATGAAAAATGGATATGCACTCTGAGAGAAATAAGAAATAATGTTTATTCGCGTAGGTACTAATAACGTATTTATACTTTAATATATATGAAATATTTTCCAAATAAAAAAAATATACCTTTTCTTAAAATCTCAGTTTTTCATGAAAACAATTAATTTTTCTATTCAAATGAGAGAATTTAGATTTAAGTAAATATATAGTTATATTTAAGTCAATATTTTTTGAACCTGGCTGTTGGCACAAGATTTACGTGTGGGTCAACCGTACTATTTTTTTCTTCCGTATATCTATCAAGTAAATATTTCTTATTTTTCAAATATTGCTCCCTTTCGCATTCGCACACACACAGTGCATATGATCATAGTTTCCTCAAAGAGAGAAAATGAGAAGTGTATGAGGAAAACAAGATCAGCGCAAAATTGAGAGGATGAGATCATCACGAAAGAGCGAAAACTCTCATCAACCGTGGGAAAAGACACGAGATATAAAAAGGATGAATATTTATGGGCGAATGAAAAAGAGGAGTCGCGTGAGAAAATTGTCGCCACATGTTGGAGAGCCCGTGCAGGCAAGGTGAGGAATCCCTCATCTCTCTCCGCGAAAATGAGCGAAAAACGCGAAAAGAAGGGGCCAGAACAGTACTTTGCCAAGTACTCGCGCGGTACAAGCACTGCGCTCACATCGGACATCGCGTCCTTCTCGTGCACCGATTACGCGGCATGCTGTTTTGCGCTGTATTCCGCGCGCGCGATAAAATTCGCCGACGCCGTTATCAGCGGAGGCATGACGGCGCGACGCTCATCACGCGGTCGACAGCGCGCGATTCCTCGTGATTCCGCCGACGCTACGTGCGCACCACGAGACGGCGAATGATATCAGAACAATAGCCGAGCAGGTAAACACGCGTCCGGAACATGGAGCAGAGACGAGCCTCCGCGAGGCCGACGAAGACGCGCGAGGAGACGGCGGCGGCGGCGGCGGCGGCGGCGGTGGCGGCGGCGGCGCAGCGCGCGGCAGGCAAGACGACGCCTTATCCGGAGCTTCCTCGCTTGGGAGCGAAATCAGGGGAGGATAAAGAGGGAGCGGGAGCGAGAGACGGCGAAGGTGGTTCCGGAGGAGAGCCTGCGAGCGAGGGTGAGAGCCAGAGAGCCGAGAGAGCGAGGACCAGAGGAGGCACTCTCTCACGATCTCAGTACACGGCGACTACGGTTTCTCTCCTCGCGGTGGTGGTGGTGATGGTGGTGGTGGTGGTGGTGGTGGTGGCGGTGGCGGTGGTGGTAGTGGCGGCGGCGGCGACGCGGTGGTGGGGTTGATACCGACGGGCGGCGGGTAGGGCGTCGTAGGGGCAGAACGAGCGCCGCGACGCCTCGACGCGCACAGTCGCGGCTCGAACGCCGTTGCCTGCGAACGTGTCGTCCTCGCGGTCCGTGCTCGTCCACTCGGCGACGCGGATGATATTTCGTTGGTGTTCGCCTCGATCGCCTCGCGGTTACTGAATGAAAAGAGTCGACCAGGACAGAGGGAGCGAGGACGATGTGAACGCGATCGCGATTGGACTCTCGCCGGCAAGGAGACTTTCTTTCTCTTTCTGTTTCTCTCTGTTTCTTTCTCTCCCTCTCTTTCTCTCTTTCTCTTTCTCTCTCTCTCTCTCTCTCTCTCTGTCCGAGGAGAACACTGAAGAGATCGATCGGAGCCGGGTCTTGAGACACGAAGAGAGCGAGCACATGTTCGGTTCTGATGAGCAGTGACACGGTCGACGCGCGCGTCAAAACAGTGCTTCCCGTCGCTTTCCTCGGAGGAGATGGCCGACGACAGGTGATCGACCTTGTGATCGATGATCGAGGGACCCTGGGCGTCAGGCGCCAGTGTTCAGAATCGTGTACGCGAGCGTTCTGAACGCGCGAACGCGGCAGCGACTGGGTGATCGAGAGGAGAACTGCAGATCTCGTCAGAGTTTCCCACCGATACGGACGATACTGGTCGCAATGAGTCGCGAGCACGTGTGTGATTTCCCGCAGTCTAGTCACAAGTACGCGCCGTCTCTTGTCGTATTTGATATCTCACGCTGTACCAAATTGTAGAGCTTATAGAGCGAGACCGTAGACGTGTCGATTCTATCGGTGCAGAAGAAGAAAAAGAAGAAGAAGACAAAGTAAGAGGGAAGGAAAGGTGACGACCGCAAGTTAATCGTTTAGCACTTGTTAGCCAGAAATTAAGACGTAACGGTCAATATAACTCGTTAGAATACGGGAAAAGAGAAAACGAAAAAAGACACTCGACACGCGCGTCTCAACACATCTGTGATCTCAATCGTGAATAGAGACAGTCTCATGTTAACGCGCTATCATATCGACAGGCATCGTAACATTCGCGGGTGGTCTCGCAGTGACGTAAAACTGTTCAGGGAGACAAGTTATATTGACACTTGAAGACCGTCGGCGTCTTTCTTATTGCTATCTGACTCTCTCGACTAACGAGTGTCGGCCGCGCGCGCACTGACAGTATCGACAGCCACGAATTTGTGGGGACTCCAGAGCTATACACGCGACATGTCACGAACGACTGCGGCTTCCGAGGCTCAGGAGAATTATTGAGGCCCCGCAAGGGAATGGATTTTCAGAGCGCGATGGACACTTTCGTAGAGGCATGGGTGGCCGCTAAGACGGACCAAGTACAGGTAAATTCTTCATTTTCAGACCGCACTGAGCGCCAGCAACTTGTCGCTGATCGTGCGTGCAATTGTAGGCCTGCTCCTTTTCGAGGAACTTCCTCAACTGCTGCGATAGAGTGAGACATATGGTCTGTTCCTTTTAGCTGCACCAGTTTTCAGCAGTGCAGCTGAAAAGAACAGACCAAATATATGCTTGTCCCATTCGAACTTATTGCACCAGTGCGCGCCAATTGAGGAAATTCTTCGAAAAGAACAGACCTTATATTTGTTTCCCCGGAGGAAACCGACACTTTGACTGCCACGCTGACCTTCCACTGGTTATTTCGATGTTCGAGTTTGAATCGCCAAAGACGCGGTGAATAAACGCAATTCGCATGTACTCCTCAGCTGATATTCTATCGGTTGTATACTTTGCATATCGCACGCAGTCGATTACATTCTTATATGTTGATTAGTGAGATGGCAATATTTTATCACCTGTCATTGGCGACTACTGTGTCGGTAGTTAACGTGTCAACAGAAAGGTTCGTCGTAAAGCGCGTGAACACTAAAATAGAGATCGTATGTATGTAGTGAGATGATGTTTTTAGAATCCGCAATTACGAAGACTTGCCGTTTTCACTTTTAAAAAATGATTTTTATGACCGACTTCAAAGAAGGAGTTTCTCAGTTTGTGCTGTATATATGTTTGTTTGTTTAATTGTCTATTCCTTCTGTGCTCGCGAAAATCGAGATATCGTGATGAAACCTTTTATTACTCATGCAGTATCTTGTGAAAAGGAAAAACTAGACAACTGAGGTTGTATTCCAAAACGTCCTTTTTCAGGAAAACTTTACAGAAAATCCATGTATAGACTTTCAGTAAAATTCTCTTCAAAGATTTTTTGGAACCTAACTTTATGCAAAAAGCTAACTGTATAACTATAAGGTGATAAATAGCAAAAAAAGTATGATTATATATATATACTGGTTTGATCAATTAGGTTTTTGCATCTTCTAATATCGTCAGAATATTAAAATAGAATTGCAAGGATATATAAAGAGAGGAATATTGATTTAAGATATTACTTAGTATTTTTTAAAGTTTTTGAAGTTTCTGGTTTGTTTTCCTTTAAGTTTTTGGAAATAAATACGCAAGAAGCAGAGAAAATGGAAAATGAGATTGTACGGTTGATGTATTACGTTTCATATAATTTCCATGCACTTCTCTTTCTCTCTCTCTCTCTCTCTCTCTCTCTCTCTCTCTCTCTCTCTCTCTCTCCCTTTATGCGAGAGGTCGAGTTTATCGCGATAGAATTACAACGCGACTACCCCACGATGAAGACCCTAATTTGACGAGGAATAATAAAACAGCGACAAAGACATCCACATAGTGCCATCGTTTACGTCGTGCCATCGTTTTCGCGGCGCTCGATCCGCCGCCGGACTTATACATAAAAATAACGCAGCGTCTATATTCGCGTTGTCAGCTGAGGGGCGAGGAGCAACCCCTTTCTGACATTACACAGCCAATTGGCCACCCTATCTCGTTTCTCTGGCGCCCCTGGACGCGCTTTCAGTCCGCTTAATTCCTCGTCATCAATTTGGCACATTCCTTCGCATCTCAAAGCAACCGGCCGCTCTCCACGTGTGACCTGCGATTATCCCCAAAGCCTAAAATAAGTAAACGAACCGGCCCTGTTTCTGCGTCGCAACAGTTTTAAGAAGCAACGGAAAATTGCGAAAAAACCCGGACAAATTCGCACAGAGAGCCCTCCTCCTCTCTGTCTCTCTTGCAAAAACTTTCCTTGAAGAGAAAGAGGGAGAGAGAGAAGGGAAGCGCACGTTGCGCTTCGAAATACTCGTCGTTACAAATTAGAACGACAGATGCGGCGGGCGATTTCTTTATGCATTCAAATGCGCATTCGCAATCTGCATGGAGGAAAACAAAGGTAAAAGGCGACGTTACTTATAAGACGTACAATCGCCATAGATATGATCGCCCCAGAAGGAAATAATTATTCGCGCGAGCGTATAGTAACGTTCGCCGCAACGCGCCAGCAGCGCTGTCGGGTGACTCTTCTCTCCTCTCTCTCTCTCTCCTCTTCTCTCCTCTCCGCGCCTCTCCACGCCTCGCCTCGCCTCGACGGGCGCCGCATCAAAAATTCGGGGTCGAATTCAGCACCTGCGTATATCCGATGCTTCGCGATTTCACAATGAAAACCGTGGGCAACGAAGGGCGGGGGATAATCCTTGGCAAAGCCGCGGCTCGCTCGTGTGTGCCGCTGTGTGGACGGACGCGCGTACGTTTACACGCGGCCACGTATATATCGGGGGGTCACGGGTTCTGACCACGATACGGATGTGCCCCTGCCTTCTTCCTGTGCCACGACCATGTTCATGTTCTGGCATTCAGCGGAATAAGACCGCGTGTCTCCATTGACCGTTCGATCTCCCGACCGTCGGCCGCCTCCGACCGAGCGTGGCTGTCGAAAAAATAGCGGCGAAAAATCGCCGCGTTTGCATGGGGCCGCGCGCAGTTTTATATATCATGGTGCAGCCGAGGCAAGGCCATCATTAATGCGACACGCTCCGGTTCGCCATTAATCATTCTAATTATGCTCTGTGCAGATCGTTATATATATATAAAAAAAAAAAACTATTAAGTCGAGCCAAGAGATAATCGGGTCGAGAGATCGTGAATTTCGAATGTAAGAATCATGCTGTTGAAGCACCGTAAGTACATTGCGTGCGTCTCTGCGATATATTTTCGTTTTATCGTGCGCTGAGGAAAGAACACCTGCAAATTTGTTTGCGGCGTACAAAGTCTATTCACAGAATTAGACTTTGTGTCCCGCAAATGAGTTTTCGAGTATTCCCTTCTCAGTGTAAACTCAGAGGAAGAATATCTAAAGAATGACAAATGTTTACTTACTACTTACGCACTGGTAACATATTTACTTAGGTCGAGATTCTTGTATATAAATAGAACAAACGATTGCTCTTTCACAGAAAAGCTGACATCTTGAGGAAATATATATTCGTTTATTTGACAAATACTTTACATTATTATAAGTATATTTTATGTTATTATATAAGTAAATTTATTAAACATTTTTTTCTCTCAGTTTATCCGAATTTATCCTGAGGAGAAGAAATGGTAAATCTAATTAAAATTACAGTCATTATCGACGTCAACTATATCTTCTGTGATTCCAACGAAAAGTGGCAGTATGTATGTAAGATTATTATCGATGACATTATAGTGGCACTTATTAAAAGGATGATTTTCCTGTCTATAATTCTTTCATCATGCGATTATAGTTACAAATGCCAAATACTTTCTCTGCAGTGTGCACAAACTGAATGCTACGCGTGATCTGCTGAAGGGACACACATCCCGATCTCCTCGTGAAAGAACACTCGTTCAATTTGTACGAGAACACCTCGAGTGTTGCATTATCCGCACGGGTCTAGAAACACCCCAAAAAAGAAGTCAGAGACGTATAATCCCGTAATGCTGTTATTCCGAAACACGAGAGATTAACTCTTCCCCTAATCGCGGCAAACACACGTCTCTACAGGTTCGTTTTTATAGAGAACTACACGCACAGACACGAAGAATCTTCTCTCCCGGTTAAATCACACAAAGGCGTGCAAAAAGGAGATTCTGACCCTCGCCAAAAATCATTCAAATCAAGTCGTCGAGGTACAGCGAGCGTGCAGAAATTATACAGAAATAAAGGTAGATGTACTCCATTTTGGAGTTGATTAGGTTCCCTCTCTGTCGTTATCGTTATTACAGTACGATCAGTCACGCAGAGGCAGATAAACGCAATCGATGAGACCTCTCACATGCTGAGTTCACGACAGACCTACACCGAAAAAACAACTCCGTCAATGCAACTGCATTTTCTGTTATTTGCGGGGAAACCAAATGTAAAGCTCGGAAACATAAGGATTCTTGCAGGAGATTTCGGCACAACCGATCGTTCTCAGTTATCTCAATCGTGTTTTAATATAGCTGAACGTTCGGACGAGTATCTTCGGTGGCAGACATAATTTCCCGTCAGTGTTTTTCGCCCGGCGTCCACTCAGTTACCTGGATTGGCTATGAAATTCTTTTTTCCCGTGCAAGAGCGCGCAGACAGAGGCGTACACGTCTGCGAGGGAGAAGCAGAGAGCTCGCGTTCTGGAAATTTTCGTGCCGCCGTGGCGTACCTTCTGCATTCTGGCACTTGAAAATAACGTCCTTGCAGCGCGTTGCACGCAGGAGCGCGCGTGCACGCACGGGCGCCACGTGTGTACTCGAAAGTGCGTCGTACATGTCGGTGTGCGTGCGCGAGGATACGTTTGAAGCACGCATGGTCACGGTATTTGACCACCCCAGCTCCCGGAATGATTGTAATCCATCTATCCGGCCACCGAAGCCGATATATCAAACGCAGGTAGAGCTCGCGGTCCTCTCTCGTAGTAGGCCTTTTACATCGCCTTTTTTATTACCGCGTCTTTTGTTTCCTTCGCTGAATATCGCACGGAGAAAATTTCGCACAGCTCGTCGCGCGACATCTGCCGCGCATGCAAAAATAAAACGCTCCTAAAATATAATTTTCTTCTGCGTAGAAAATGCCGCCTGAACGACTGAATTATTCGTGGAATGTTAAGAATTTGACTAAATTTTTCCTGTTAAAAATGGAATTATTAAAAAAGATCTATTAAAAAAAAGTCAGATAAAAGTATCATTGTCCGAACGTATAACTAATTCTGGACATTCTTGTTCGGTCTTTAAATACGAATTTTTAAACTTTAAACTTATGAAATATATATATGCATATATATCTCTCTCTTTTTTATATACTCCGATAGATATAGATAGAATTTTACATGAACTTTACAGTATGAATTTTACAGTAACTTTTACTATATCAAATCACGAGATTCAACAGCGTTGAGTCCTTTATGATTGATTAAATTACAATCATATTTATCTCATAGAATAATAAAATAAAAATACAAAAAAAATGACG